CCTCCTCCCCTTTCTGACAACCTGCAGGTTGTGCTCTTCGCAGTCCCGGGTGCCTACACTGGAGTCTGCCATCAGGCGCATGTTCCCTCCTTCTCCAAGAACGTGGCTGCCTTCAAGTCCAAGAACGTCGACAAGATTGTCTGCGTCTCCACCAACGACCCCTACGTTCTCAACGGATGGGCTAAAGCTGTGAGCTCTGTCCTCGTCCTCCCCCTTCCCCCTCTCCCTCTCCCTCTCCCTCTCCCTCCCTCTCTCCCTCTCCCTCTCCCTCTCCCTCGTTCTCTCGCTCATTCCTGCTCCCCCTCCCCTTTCACTTTCACTTTCTGCTTCATTGCCCATGCCTCCCGTTCCGTGCTATTCCCTCCCCTCCTCCCCCCTCAACCCTTTCTTCTGACATGCCCAAAGCTCGGGGACAAGGCCACCGGCATCGAGTTCTACTCCGACTGTGACCTCGAGTTCACCAAGTTCATGGTCTTTTTCCACCCCCTGCCTTCCCTCCCCTGAGCTGCTTGTCTCCCAGCACTCTGAGCTCGACCTCTCCGTCGCTGCCCTTGGTGTCGGATCGAGGACGAACAGGTATGGCACACGTCAAGGATAAACCAGCGTTGGGGGGAGAGGAAGGAGGAGAGGAGAAGAAGAGGAAAGGGGGAGGAAAGAAGGGAGGAGGAGAGGAGGAGAAGAGGAAGGGGGAGGAAAGAAGGGAGGAGGAGAAGAGAAAAGGAGGGTGGAGAGGAGGGGGAAGACGACGTGGGGAGCTGGAGAGATCGAAGGACAAGAGGAGGAAGGGGGAAGGGAGGAGGAAAGAAGGAAGGAGGAGAATAGGAGAGGAGGAGAGTCTGCTGGTAGGCAGTCAGACGGGCCTGACTGGGTTCAGGTATGCTCTGTTCGTGGACAATGGAGTCATCAAGTCACTCAAGAAGGAGGCCTCGCCGGGAGATCTCAAGGTTTGGAACTTTTCATAGCAGAAGTTTGGAAGTTTGAACTCTTTTGGAAACTTCAGGTTTCGGACGGAGATAGCCTCCTCAAGGATTTGTAATTGATGGTGATAGTCCTTCATAGCGTTCAGATAATTTCGACGAACTTGAACAAGGAATAAAAAAATCAACGTGACGAGTTCTGATAACTGATACCTGTGTCGAAATACACAATTCCGTGTAACGAGAGTGTTTTAACATCCATGTGAGAGTGCAAAAGACAGGTCTTTGATACATATCGAAAAACTTTCAACTCGTTTGCTTTGTTTTCGTCCCATCTATTGTACAATACAAAAACAACTCTCTCCTAGCTTACAAGATGCTCTTGAACAGGAAGGGAGTGTCCTGGATCACCGAAGCCTTGGTCAAGAACTCCTCGTACGCGTACGCAGTGATGGCGAGCATCGCAAGGCGTCCGTTGTTGAGCTCCTTGAGCTCGAGGTCGCGCTTCACCGGCTCGCTCTTGCCAGTGTAGAGGCGGAGGGGGTCGAAGCCGAGGTCTCCGGGGATGTAGTCAGCGCCCCTGGTGCGGGTGAAGGCGACAGACTCGACGGTGGCGGTGAAGATGATGATGGCCATGAAGAAGACCGGGTTCACGCGGTCAAGACCTCCGTTGAGCAGGGAGGGGGCCTTCTCTCCCGCAGCCAGAAGGTCCGGCTGTCCCAGCATCTTGGCCAGGTACGGCTGCACAAGCTCCGACACGGGCCATCCAGCAGCCGCAAGCATAGCAAGACGCCCGTGCTTGAGCTCCGCCTCCCTGTAGTTCTTGAGCGCGTCCATGGAGGTGGCGCAGTTGAGGGGATCGAAGCCCTTGTTGCCCACCATGACGCAGTCGGCCAGCACCGAGTCCGGCTTGAGCAGGCCGAACTTGATCGCGTTGCGCACGTACAGGTTGCCACCCTGAGCGTCATCGAAGCGCTGCATGTTCATCAGGCGCTCGTACTCGGCGTAGTCGATGACGCCGTTGCCGTCGATGTCGCCACGAGCCATGAGGGCCTGGATCTCGGCGGAGAGGTTGTTGCCGAGAGCAGCCTTGAGCTCGGCCATGTCGATGCTGCCAGAGCCGTCCGCGTCGAGCTTGTTGAAGAGCTCCTTGGTGAGCTTGACCTCTTGCTCGATCTTGGTGGGAGAGCTCTGCATGCGGAGGGAGCAGGTGGCAGGGCGGGAGGAGGCCAGGCGGGGGAGGCCCGAGGAGGCGGGGGCGAAGGCAGAGGCAGAAGCGATGGCAGCGAAGGCAGCGAGGGTTCGCAGCATGGCGGGTGAAGATGGGGGAAGGCAGGGAGGGACGGAAGGTTATATAGAGGAGTGCAGGGGTATTACATTGGGGTGGGGTGTCAACAAGTACCGGTACGTTTGGCATCACTGTACTGTACTTGTCGTGGTGGGGTATAGGGGGGCATTTGTTTAGGGGGTACCCATACCTGGTGTGCATACTTAAAGGTGCGTCCATCAGTTCCTACTACCCCCTTATTTCACAACCCCTACCCTGTCTTTCACCTTTAGTACCCACCTTCTAGACCATAGAACCCGTTCTTGATGACCCCACCACCCAAGGTCTCATCCACCATTGCAAGGGGCAAAGGAAGGGATACGACCACCCCCTACCTGAGCAGATCATATCTCCCGCACGGGTCCCCTTCGTACCCTCACCCCCTATTTACCATATGAAAAAGGGGGTCCAGCGTCCCTGTGGATGATCCAGGGGCCTTTCTGGTCGCCAGACTCGCTCAGACCTGCAGGCACATATAAAGACGCTTTGATATACTACCGGTACATCTGAGTACTTATTGATAAATGTTTGAGGGGTGGGGTAGCTTCACGACTGTCATAAAGAACCCTGACTCGTCGTGAGACGACGTCCATGGGGTACAGATGCCTATTGTTTTGAGGGTGGGGGTTGGGGTGTTTCCCCCGAAATCATCAAAATGAGTCCTTTTCGCAAAATTTCTGCAATCAAGGTTTAGCGCATCCTTATGTGTACCCACCGCCGGACGCCCGGTGCCGACGGTACACTGAGCCGTCTCCTGCCGCAGTGCGTGCATGCCCGGCCGGCTGGTTCGGTCACAGGCTCTGGCAATCATCAATTCCCGGGAGTCCGTCGGACTCCCCGCCAACGGTGGGGTACATTTGCCGAGTCACGGCCCGTCACGCGGCAGTTTCCATGGGTTCACTTTCTATCAGTACGGCGAGGACAATCACTGATCAGGAGTCACTGAGTGAGTCCCCGACTCGGAACTCGGAAACTTTGAACTCGGCCCGGAATCACGGTTCCGGAGTGCAAACCGTTGAACCGCCCGGCGCCGCCGTGTCCGACTCACTGAGCCGTGACCTTAAGTTCCGTACTTCCGTCACTAGTACAGTACGGTAGTCGGACGGTCACCGTCCGATACCGGGTCGCCGTGATGGATCCGATCGCGTATGCCAGCCCGGCGCTGAGCCGTGCCCCGCCGGGCCCGGCCGAATTAGATCACCGAAACTTGCGACGCCGACGGTTAACCGTCAAAACTCAGCCGAGTTCAAGTCTATACCGTACCGTACGGCCCGGTAAAACATGATGACTTACGTGTTTCAGAGCGGCGGCAATGTAGCCTGGCATGCGTGACGAAGAGAGGGCTTCCGAAGTTCCTAGCTGTCACAGAGTCTTGCTGAGGAGTCCTCTCATTTCCCACGGTCACCTGGTGGATGCTTGGGGCAAGTTTCAACTTTTTCAAGTCACATCCAAGCATCGTGACAGTCAATCTCGAGGATGAGTCGGATGATGTGCTCCTCAATCGAGTCTCAGTCTGGTTTCAAGTTTCGGAAGTTCGTGTGCATTAACTCAGGCGCTAGTAAACTCGGTCTCGACTCACTCGGCGGTCCGGGTCGCCCGGCCACCGTCACCCCGGCCCGGCCGCCGCGGGCGCGGTTGACGTTCACGTCGGTTGGCCGGGCTCGCCGGACTGGACAGCCTCCCAGGGCCTGAGTCATCACGAGTCGGCTGGGGATGGTCCGGATATTCCGCCTGGTCTAGAATATTCCAGAAGCCACTGAACAAAGTGGATCATGGTGCGGTGATCCGGCTCTCCATCACTTTAGTACCCCTGAGACCCTACCCCACGATAGATAATGGATTATCCTGGGTAGGGTACTTGGGGGTCCGACAGACTCATAAGGAGCTGTGCACAGAGTTTACAGCACAAACTGACAAGAATGCAACGATTGGAAGTTTTTGATTGCTCCACCCGTCCTTTAGACCATTTTCAAACCCACCCTACTATGCACAAACGACAACCCCCCCGATCCAGCCGGATATCCACCCCTGCTCATCCTGTAACCCGTCCACTGTGAAAATACAACAATGTGCCCCATAAAAGGACCCCCTGGCAAACATGAGATGTACCCCACTCACAATATTCTGATTTAGTACCTACCTTTTCCACAGGCTTGCTTCAGCCACAAATTACCTGTACCCCCTATTTCATACCACCCCCTAGCAACGTTGTTCTAAGTGTTCTCTTTCAGCACCACCCACCCTACAGGAATTTATCCCTTTGAAAGATCAATCTGCAAAGACTACCCCACCCACCACTCGTACAAACACCACCCCCCCTTCGCTCTGTACCGTCCCCTCAAAGCAACAAGGAGATTGGGCTACCTTCCCCCCGATCCATTCCGACCGTTCAGTTCCCTAGCGAGCCCCGCCCCCTGCACTTGTTCCCCCCTCTCCTCTATATAACCTTCCGTCCCTCCCTGCCTTCCCCCATCTTCACCCGCCATGCTGCGAACCCTCGCTGCCTTCGCTGCCATCGCTTCTGCCTCTGCCTTCGCCCCCGCCTCCTCGGGCCTCCCCCGCCTGGCCTCCTCCCGCCCTGCCACCTGCTCCCTCCGCATGCAGAGCGCTCCCACCAAGATCGAGCAAGAGGTCAAGCTCACCAAGGAGCTCTTCAACAAGCTCGACGCGGACGGCTCTGGCAGCATCGACATGGCCGAGCTCAAGGCTG